CCTGCCATGAACAAGGTTTTGTACATTTGTCATCTCTACACTTTTTCCCAAAACGTCTATGATACCAGCAAACAGAATAATCTCTCCTTTTGGAATTGCTTCTTTCCTTATTGCGATCTCCGCGATTTGGCGAGCGACCACGAGAAAGAGAAATGCGATCAATACGTTTGTTTAATTTTTCTATTTGTTTAAATAATTTATCCTCAAGAGACTGATCGACTGTGCGAGAAAGAAACGGCACAAGTCCCTGGGGTTGGATTTACTTCTAAAATTCTGTCGGCAATTTCTGCAGCTTTATCTACAGTTAAATTGGAAACCGCTGCCAAAATAGACTGAACAGTCGAAGGCAAACGTTGAAGGAATAATTCTAACATTAAGTTATCAGGAACATTTAAAGATTCTGCTCGACGTTTCATATTTCTAAGCAAATCGGAAGGTTTTCGAGAACCTAATTCTTCTCCAGATAATAATTGGCGAATTTCTTGCTGAGAAGATTCTCCTGAACGATTTATTAACTCAGTTTTAAGCTTTGCATATGGATCAATAGGGTCTGGTTTCATAAGTAAATCCCGTACTAGTGATGCGATATCTGGAGGAAGATGAGAAACTACATAATTATATTTAGTAATGGATTCTGTGATAGGTTTGGGGGTGGCAAGAGCAAAAGGTACTTTCACACATAATAAACCATAAAGATGGGTCTGATCGGTTATAAACCGGAATTTGGACGGCATGAACATCAGACATTGTGCAAGGTTTTTAAGCCAAAATAAAAGCAAAAATTTAACTAAAGAAAATGAAATTAAATGATAAGTAGAAAACAGAATTATAAAATGATCTATAATTACTACTCATCTGTGATTCCGGAGGATGAAAACCGATGTAATCCATTACTTCTGGTTTGGAGATCTTGAGTGATGGCTTGTAGTCAAAACCGAAAGTGCTTGAGAACTGTTCATACGATTTAACACAGTCCGGGTTACCATTATGGTGAATTTCCTGTTATGTTTTTACCACCAATCCTCGAATTCCATATCACAGATTATGTTCTTACTGCATTAATATAAATATTAACAAGACATAGTGCACAATAAAAATTAAGCTTTATTTAGGAACTTCGCGCACACTCCCCGACAGCCTGCCTGTTTCGCTCTGCTCGCTACTCGTAAGAAACTTCTCCTCTAGGGTTGCCACACTTATCGGAGGGCGCAAGGCGCGCTCTTATCCCATACCCTATGTCAATGTAAATAATCTTTCTAAATGGTCTTCTTATGATATCAAATGGTAATTTTAAGTTAATGATTGTAGACCATTATGCTTTCTGCATTTGACCTTAATAATTTTTTTGTGCTTAATTTATACTTTAGAAATAATGTCAAAAACCTTAAAGGTTTAAGCATGTCATTTTGAAATTTCTATCTTAAAATGACTGTCTTAGGTCTTTTAAGTTAATTACTATGTTAGGATCATTATTTGGAACTCTACTCAACATTTCGTTGTAATGTATCATAACTATGTAGGAGTCATTTCTCAGGTATGATAAATTAACTTTTGTTCTCAAAAGGCTGTAAGAGTTCAGTTGCTAAATAAATTAATTGACAATGTGAATATATGGGTATCTTTTCAGTTAAATTACAATGAAATACGTTAAAAATATTCCAAATTAACAAATTTTTATATTCCAAATTGAGGGAAAAGGCGAATAAAGTTTCATTTCCATGGTTGAATATTAATAACATGTGTATTATAGACTTTAAGTTCTCCTACACAAAATGTAACTATAATTCAAATTTAAAATAATACATTACAATGTGGATATTCTTCTCTGTAGATAAAAAAATAATTCAATCTTCTGTACCTTGTTAAGAGATTAAGGCTGTGATAAGTTCAAATAGAGTAGTGTTTGTAAAGTTCTGCGGTAAATGGTGGAATCATATTAGGAATCCGAGTGACGTTTTTACATGAAAATCAAGGTTCAGTGTATGTGTGGTGATTTAAGTAGGATTTGTGCAAGAAAATACCAGATATTTTTGTAAAATATTTCAAAGTGTGAGAAATATTTGTGTTAGTTGTATAAATGAATCTAACTGAATAAAAGGGAGTGTTCGGAATATATATGTATAAATGTGTATAAATGTTGTATACGTATAAATGTCTATAGAGTAATTTAAAAAGAAATGAAATACTATTGGTACGTATCTAAACTTAACTCGGTAGAAATGTTCCATGCATTGGTTTGAGTGGGCTTCATACCATGAAAAATTTATTGCTGCTTAAAAGATTTGTTTAAAGTCAGGTAGGTCTTAGGAATAAAGAAACATGTGTAAAAGTCCGTATATTTAATTTTTTTGGAGAAAAGGAATCAGAAATAAAGCATGAATATATTTTATAAGTTTAAATATAAGGGTAAATGTGGAAATGGAAAGTGTAAAAATTACATTTGTCAGACATAATTTGGTGAATCCTTTGAATAAAGGTAAGACGTGTAAAAGAGAATCAGCAAAGTTTTGTATAGTTGGCCAAAAAATTAATACAGTCATTAATAGTTAGTACAATACATTAGAAGGAAAAGTTGTCAGTACCTCCAACTTAGTAGTAAAAAAGTAAGAAATGTAGTATTCCAGTTAAACTATATAGAATGAACATTGTGTATATTGGTTTAAAGTTGCAGAAAATATTATCTAGTGAAGTTATATGCATGTAAATTCCAGCTTAAAATTTCAAAGACAGAGAAATGTAGGTAAGTTTACTTTTGGAGAAATGGAAATGTAACATTATGTTGTATTTAACACAAAGGAGAAAAGTTAAGAGTAAAATAAAAATGTAACAAGACAAAAATTTTAAAGGAAAAAAAATAAAACCTACGTCTGGAATTAAAATACATTAGGGAAAAACAAAAAACTGCATTTGTGCAAACAAAAAACTGAAAAAAATTAAATTTATGAAAATAAATATTATTTTTGTAAAATAAAATATAGTTAAAAATGTAGTAACACCTTCTTTTAAAATAAAAAGCGAACAGGAAAAATTAAATTTGTAAAAATAAATATTACTTTTGTAAAAAAATTAACTTAAACAAAAAAAAAAAACTTTTTAAAGTAAAAAAAGTTAAATGTAGATAAAAATTAAAGTAAAAATACGAAAAGGAATAAATTTGAAGAAAAAAAAAATTTTGCGAAATAAAAATGTGAAAGGGAAAAAATAAATTCGTAAAATTAAATATTACTTTTGTAAAACCTAAAAAGAAAGTTAAACATAAAAAAATTAAAGGAAAAATACGAAAAGGAAAAAGAAAAAAAAACTTTTGCAAAATAAAAAAAAAATAAAAAGTAAAAAGAAAATTTAAATTCACCTTTGTGGAAATAAACGTCAATTTGGGAAAGTTCAAAATAAAATTTATGTTTGGGAAAGGGAAAAAAAATTGAATGAAAAACTAATAAATTAACTTTAGTTAGATTGAAAAGAAAAATGAAGATAATTAAAAATATCCCAATAAAATAAAAAAGAGAAATTTAAAATGTGGGAAAATCTTCCATTTAAAACTGCAATGTATAATGTAATGATTTAGTAGCCAAAAGAAATCCTAGTCCGTTCAAGACACATAAAACATGCTCATTGGTTACAGAAGGATATTATTAGCAAGATTCTGATTGGTCATCAAGATTGTATTCGTTCACCGTCGTGAAAAAACAAATGCGTGATCCCGTTTTTACGGCAGGTTGGCGCATACGCAGACTTTCACCCTCGTGACATCATGGTACACAATGTGAAATGCACAAAGCTGCAGTAAAAGGTGACAAATAACAGATTTCAAGAGATAAAAGCATAGCCTTGAGGTAACGCTCTTTTCTGCCATGCAAGAGACAGCGGGTTGAAATCCCACTCGTTTAGTTATTTTTAAAAAATCAGGAAAAATAATATTAAATTCAATAAAAATTAATTAAAGGTAATATTTAAAATAATGACGTACTAAATAATTAAGATACTTATTAAAAAGAGTAAAAAGTAAAATTAATGATATACAAAATAGTATTAATATTTATCAAATATCAAACTAATATTAATCACATGTCAAATAATTAAAAGTAATAAACTAAAAGAGATGTCATTTCAATCACGTGGTTCAAGAACTCGTTGCCACAAAAAATAAAAACTTTGAAAACATAAAATCGTTGCCACAGAATAAAAACGAAAGTTTGATGATGTCATTCCGTCCATCTACGTCACTTCCGGTTGTCACGTGTTCCAAGAGGGTGGATACCAAGCCCCTTTTCTGTGACGTCACTTCCGCCTACCAAGTACGGGGGGGGTTACTACTGACGTTCACCGGCGATGTTTCGAATGCATAAGATTGTTACCAAATATTCAATCTTTCACCGATATATCTGGTATGTGTTCGCATAACGTCGACATTCTCCAATTTTCCGGTCTTTCACGATATATTGTTGAAAATTCAAAACTAGAAGACCTTTCTTTCTCCAATCTGAAACATTGCTTGGTATGGAACAATTATCAAAGCCATCCGTCTTGCATCCCATGAAGAAGGTATAGAACATAATTAGAAGACGTTTTAATTTCACCTCATAGTTCTTCACGGAACATTTAACAGCTAAAAATATAATTAGAAGAAGTTTTAACTTTTACTCACAATTCTCCCCGGAACATTTAATAGCTAAGAATATATCTATTCCGAGCATGGGCACGGGCATTCCAATCACCATAGCAGACCTCATTACTATGCATCGGCGTTGTTGGGTATGTATTCCCAGTAGAGGTCATCTACTCCGTACTGACAAATTTCCATCGCTGAACATTTTTTGTCACCAAAAATCCAATGTTTTTGCTTACCACTATAATTTAATTATTTTATTGGTAATTTTTTCTTCCGCACTTGTGTTTTTTTATACCCATTATCTGTGAAAGTTTCAATGCGAATAAATACTTTTTTGGGGGGAGGTCTAACTTTTGGAGATTTTACATGAAATTAAATTTTTACGAACCTGGTTCTCCTTTTTGACCTTGAGGGCCTTGTCTTCCAGGTTGACCAGGAATGCCTTCCTCACCTCTTTCTCCAGGACTTCCAGGAAAGCCATAACCCTTGTCCCCTTTCAAGCCTCTTAAACCTGGTGGACCCATAGGACCAGGTGGCCCTGGTATACCTGAAGGGCCTAATTCACCCTAAAAAAATGAATGTTAATGAAAATTAGTTAAAAGCTCGACAATGTTCTCGAAATCCTTTCCGATCTGGTAGACCGATAATATCACGTAATCTGTTATAAAGGCAAAAATCAATATCACAGATTTAGGAAACACAGGAATGAAACTATTATATCCAGATGAAATAACACACTGATACAACGTATCGTATTTAAACACATACCTTGGCAGTTAGTAAACGCCTCGAAAGGAAAATTCATTAAATGAATATACGGCAAGTTTCATTAAGAGAAAAGTCGAGTTTTATTTCGTGAAAATGCTTAAAGGAATGTAAATAAACTGAAACTGCTCTAAAATATGATATATTTGTTACAAAGAATACTATAAAAAATGAGTGCAATTTTAAATTATTTTGATAGCATTATTTATAAGGTCTTGCATAAAATTATTAGTGCCTTAAATTCTTTTATTTCCATTAAGAATTATTGCGAATTTTTTGTCCGACTTAATGGAATAAAACGATTCGTTGCTGCCTATATAACGGTAACGAAGCTGCATCTTTCCTCTCACTCATATTTAGTAATTTCAACATGTGTCAAAATATGTCTTGAAAGGACAACTGTTTGCACATTTTAAGTGACTAAAATCAACCAAGTGGATACGACTGACGAGACTTCTGCAATATCATTCATTCCCTGTCATTTATATCCGGCGGAGACAGATTTTTAATATTAAAGCCAATTATAAATTTAAAATCCTAAGACGAGGCAATATTAAATTATAAATTATGGGTATAAGACGAGGCAAAGCATAAAAAACATAATAACTTCTTCATAATATTCCACACATAAGCTTGCTACTTACGGAAAGAGGGCAACTGTTTCGCATTGCTTTCAATCTTTTTCCTTCTGCTGTTTCGTGGAAAGAACATAATAAACGTTTTCATAGTACTTCCAAACAAAGGTTTTTCTATTGATTGGAAAACTAATAAATTGTTTTAGGGAGCCTACATGTAGTTTTTTACCCATCGGGAGATAAACTGTTTTAAAATGTTTAACGTAGAAGTCTTGTACTGGCTGAAAAGATGATAAACCTTTCACGGTGCTTTCAAAATAAAGTTTTAAGAGAAAAAATGTTAACAATTTGACAATGATTTCATACAAAAGCTTTTATTTTTATTCTATTACATTTTTTTAAATTTAATTGCTAATTGGTTAATTCCTTTCTGGTTTTAAGGTAAAAGTTTCGCTCACGAAGAAGGGGGGAAATTGTTTCATAGTGTCTCTAATAAAGAATTCTATTGCTCTTGAAAATGGTTATTAAATAACGTTTTCTATTTTCTTAAACTAGTAACTGATTTATTTTAATTTAATTATTAACTTTGTTGTTTACTTTTATCGCTTCGATGTACTTAGTGGATTCTGTGTCATTTTTCATTCTTCATTTCAGTGCACCTTCACTGTCTTCAGCCTAATTTTAACAATGGATACATTTTTGCTTTATGATTCTTATAAATATATTTTATTTTGTTCTTTTAAAAACATTCTAAACAATATTTTGTGTGTGAATAGGCGAGGCCAGAAAGCAGGTAATGAAATCAGTTATTCTGCAGCCCCGTGATAATGTACAATTTCTATATACTCACTAATTTTGTTTATTTTCGTTTTCCACTTGTTTTCTGTCTTCGCATTTTAAAATAAGGAAAAATTTGCAGCATTTTCTTTTGGGGAGGGAGGGTTGATGATGTTGCATGATACATCGTCAGCAAATAAAATACGAATATTCTACAAGCAGAAGATCTGGGGGGGGGGTAAATCGGACAGTCGTGGCACTTACGGAGATTCCCGTGCGACTAAATTCTGAGCACTATCCAGACTGGTGTCGTACACCACAGCTTTCAAGTAACTCCAGAGAAAGTAATCATGCTATAGGAGAGGTCCAGTAGACTAATGAATAGGACACACCACGTCCGATCCACCACTGTCGAGATGTCACGTTTAAATATTGACAAATGTTATCACTGAAATGGGCAAGGTTCCTGTCGTACTGGAGCCATCTTTCAAGAGGAAAAGACTGCCGGACCTGTTGTGTATCCATATGTTATAGCAAAACATCCTCCAGAAATAATCTTTAACTCCGTCTGTCCAGATGAACAGGCATAAAGTGGTCCTCGACAATGCTGGATTAAGTATTTATAGCAAAACGGTGTTGCGCTCCCTATGGTCGTGTACCATGGAAATTTTCCACTGCCCATAATGAACGTTCTGTGCACTAAAGCTGCCATTGTGCGCGAAGCATGCCTTGTCTGCAAACAGTGCACGGTCAGAAAACAGATTTCCGCTACATTCTACTACAGATATCAGTGAGCAAATGCTGTAGTAGGTGGACACACTGCATACGGTGTCGATACAATTGATTATCCTTCAGAATTCCTCATACCACTGAATGGGATCGACCAGTCGTAGTAGGCAATTAATCGAGTATAAGCATTTAGAGTGCATTTTGCTTGACGAAATATGATCTTCTGGATGTCATTGGTATGCGGCCATCGTTTTCGATTAATGGCATCTGGCATGTCTCTGGCAGATATTAGTCTTACAACTAGCGTTCCCCTAATGCAGCAGCGCAAACATCTGATAGTTGGAAGTACGCCTCACAGGGGATTGTTTTTGGAACCCACACGTACAATAGCTCGCTCGCTACAGTTCACATCCCATCCTCCCATACAAGGTGCTTATCGGTTAACTTTGTGTTCGTGTAATGGGCAATCCAGTGAGCAAACTTGTGCAAACGGTCAGCGAATGATGATTTCTTGTGACCTTTCCTAGAAATTTGCATAAGTATTCTGCATTGCCAAAAAAATTTAAATAAATAAAAAAAGACTAAAAAACTATTTTGCGATTGAAAAGGATTCTGCTTGTTTCACAGTTTTGGTGTTAAATATAATGTTACAAAATTAACATATGACCAATTTTAGAGATCTAAGTCTGTATTTAGTAAGAACAACAATGAAAGCATACAAATTCTAATAGTGTTTTTAAAGTTTAGAGAAAATAGATTTTGTGACGCATTTTCTTTACCTTCTTTCACAACCCACTCTTTGCCTCAGTTAACAAAAGAATTGAAAAACTGAGCTATACAATTTTACTAAATGAACCTTTATTTCTCATGTAATCCTTGAACAATTAACCGTTGATTATTCGCTGATCACGAATGCCTTTTAGCAATATCATTTAAGTGCTCTGTAATATTAGCTAAATACTTGATTAAGCAATACTTGATTACGCAATATTAATGTAGACGATAAAGAAAATGTCCACTGGCCAAGGTCTCCGAAATATAAATCTTAACAATAACAATAAATGGCCTCAAGAACACCATGGGTTTTAAATCAATCATTTTCAATGAAAGTAAAATTTATGATAAATATTTTGTAAAATTTCTCCATCACTTACTTTTACTCCTTTCGGTCCGGGTAATCCATATGGTCCCGGATACCCATCTTCACCTTTAGGTCCATCTTGCCCTGGCAGCCCGGGTAAACCGGGAGGTCCTCTCTCACCTTTGTCGCCTAAAACAGAAGACAGTCTTAGAATATATAATGTTGTTCTTTAAATGACAGCTTTTGGAACTAAATGACAGCTTTTGGATAATTTGCTTATCAAAGGAAATAGTTTTTAAATTTAATATAAGTTTTTACGGTGAGATCGATGTTCGACTGATTGCGTTGCCGTGTATTAATTATGCCTGATTTATATTTTATTTTTTTATTTAGTACTTTTTAAAAATTACTCAGCTATTACTTATTCTTAGAAGAGCGTGAATGTCGTTGCTCCCTTAATGCAGTTAGTAAAGTTTTGTTTGCTTGGCTGGAAGCTTCAGGAAATTTTAACATAGCTATTGGTGTATTTCTTCTTTACACAATATAATATTTTTAATTAACTTTAAATAAATATCTTAACAGTCAGATTTTTTCCTAATTAAGCGTTCGCCAGGAATGGCCGAACCCCTCGGTCACATAGCTTAACACCGAAAACGTTGCGCAGAGTGAATCACAAAGTATGAGCGAATTAAACCCGCCAAAAAAGGAAAGCTCCGTCCGAAATCTGAAAGAGACCACCCTCAGAAGACGAGTTTGAGGGCCTCCTATCAGCTGTTAACCTTTTTTTTTTTTTTTTTTTTTTGAGGACTTTTTGCTGAACAGTACTTTAAATGCACTCATGCTGCAAAGACATTGTACACTTACAAGCCTTTATGCGTTCACTGCGATTCGAAATAGCACCCACGACTATAACAGCCAAGTTCCCTACTACCACGCCAACAGGGTGATACATCAATGAATTGAAAATATCTGTCTACTAAAAAAAGAATCATATGTCTCCATATCAAGTGATATTTGATTCTTTCGTTAAGACTTCTTCCCAGTCAAATGTTTAAAAAAATTAAATTTTTTTTATTAAATATCTGTTATAATTCAATAAATAATATTTAAAATAAATAATGATCATTTTAATTTTTGTTTCTTAGTTATGAATACTTGTGAACATTCTTTTTGCTTAAAGTTTCAAATCTACACAAAATTATGAACACACTTTACAAATAAATCTGAAAGCAATATTTAAAAGAATATAACCTGAAAAGTTTTATTTTTTAGAATGAAAAGATTAGCAGCGTATAATAACACTATGAAAAGCGTAAAAAATTACAAAACATATGCAACAATAATCAAACATGAATTGGTTTTATCGTTTCATTAATAAAATTTCTGATATAATTCAGTGCCATATTATGTCAGAAAATTCAGTTTTTATTTTTTTTATCCATGTAACAGATCTTATCCCTTCTTTTGAGAATCTAATAACAAAATCATTCAAATTCAAGCATTTTATTAAAACGCCATCAGTTATGTTCATTCGCAAACAAAACAAACAAAATTCCAACAGCTACGTTTTATATTTATTACATGATTTTTAACTTATTCAGACACTTAAATAAATTAATAAAACTTATTCAGGGGGGATACTTGATCATTAAAGTCATATATACCAGAAGAGTTTAAAAAGAAAATCCATTTTGGATAATAAAAAAACAAAGCTTTCATATACTGTAAGAAATTGCACTAGTAAAAGAAAAGTCTATATTTTAAAAGAGTAAATAAACTTCTTGATAATTACATAAAATTATGTCCTCAATATTCTTACTATTTAGAAAGGTTGAACTTGCTGCAGTTACAAAATAATTTCTCATGCTAAAGCAAAACGGCTGAAAATGATTATGTTATCAGTTTTGCAAAAGGATGTAGCATTTAATGTATTACCAGTATTTCATAGCTCCATTAATAGAAACGTTATTTTCAAGGAACAAATATTCTTGGCGATCAAACATCGCAAATCTCAACTACATTAACACGAGCCTCGGTGCTGCCCATTAATTATGGAAAATCACACAAATCATTTAAACTGAGAAGCAAAGGACCACATTTTTCAATGAGGTAGTTTCGGTGAGAAACTTGAGAAATCACATTTTTCAAAGAACTCATCTGGATGACGCGGAGGGCATGTGATTAAGTGGGAATGGTATTTAATTGCTCCTTAGAGAAGGTAAGGAATCATTCTTGCACTTACTTTTGCGAGTGATGGGAAAGGCTGCTGATCTAAGCGAATTTGATAGAGGACAGATTATAATAGCCCGAAGACTCGCAACGAGTATCTCTGAAACTGCACGACTCTTAGGTTGTTCCGGATATGCCATTGCTATTATTTATGCAAGTGAATAAATGACGGTGATACCAAGAAGTAGCTGCCAAGGTGTTGAACGTCCGTGCGTTATCAAAGAAAAAGGATTTCGGAGACTGTCCCACTTGGTACAGCAGAATCGGGGCCAGACAGTGGCTCAGCTAACAGCCCAATACAGTGCAAGTGTTTCGGAAAACACAGTTCAGCGGACACTGTTGGATACGGGACTGTGCAGCAGACGTCCCACTCGTGTATCTCTGTTGAGCAAGCGTTACTGTCAACTGCATACACAATGTGCCCGGGAATATGTACAAGTGGAAGACAGTTGCCTGTTTGGATGAATCACAATTTCTCATTCATCACGTCGATGGTCGTGTCAGGGTACGCCATCTTCCAGGCGACAGTTGCTTTCCCTGTACAGCGGTTCATACACAGGTAGGCGGTGACGGTATTAGTTAATGTTCTCATGGGCGGCTCTGGGACCCTTAATTGTGGTAGAATAGACCATGAAAGCTGCAGACAACTTGAGCATAATTGCGGATCAGTCGCACCTTTACAAGGCGTCTGTCTTCCCAACTAGAAATGGAATGGAATCATCCAGCAGGACAACGCCCCATGTAACAAGGCTTGAATTGTGTTGGAGTGGTTCGAAGAGCATAAGGATGAATTCCAATTATGTCCTGGTCACCTAACGTGCCTGATCTTAACCCGATAGAGCATATTTGGGATGTTATGGAGCGGCAGCTCAGAGCTCGAACACCACCATGTCAGCATATCTCGACTTTGCGTAATCGCTGCTTAGACATTTAGTACAAAGTGTCTCCAGTCATTTACCAGAAACTTGTGGCATACATGCCAAGGCGAGTTTCAGCTGGTTTTACAGGCCAAAGATCGCGAACGAGTTACTGAGCAGATGGTCATTATGTTTTAGTTCTTCAGTGAAGTCTATGCTAATGAAATAGTTTCCCAACACATGGACTGTGGTCCACAAGATGTCTTTGAAAGTCTAGTCTGTAGTCTTTCTAGATTACTAAAAAAGGTTATTAAAGTTTCTAATTATCTGCGTATACCATACTATAGATGAAAATTCCAAAGTCTGAAATATACACTCGTGTGGAAAATTAAGAAAATTAGCCAATTATGTCTATTCTTACAAAAAGGATTGAACCAAAATTACTAATTATGCCGCCGAAGGATTATGCAAATATTCAGAGCAGAATACGTAAACGTACTCATGCGTCTGTACAGAGCTGGGATTATGGAGGGAATATACGCGCACGACAGGTTTCCGGCGGTTTTTGAGTGCTCGTACTCCTTCACGACATTCGCCGTATTTCTCACAAGAGTTGGTAAAATTTTGTAAGGTATGGGATAAAATGAATAGCGATGAACTCATGGATAACAGAATGACATGGAGAATTGTTGATAGCTTGGAAGCAAGCCAATAAAAAGTGCAGTTGGTTATAAAAATCAATATAATGCCCAGTGTGATCTCAAATTTATGGAAACCATTTCAAAACACTTGGATCCATATAGAGAAGACCTTAACGAGGTCGACCAAGATCCTCAGGGACTAATAAGGATCGTCATTTGGGACTTTTAGCGCGGCGAAACCAGATTGCTACAGCTTCACAGCTCCCACTTGAGCTCTATGCTACCACTGGAACACGGGTTTCATGGTCTACAGTTGCCCGAAGTCTTCTTGAGATAGGTCTGTACGCCAGAAGGCCCACTGTTTGCGTCTCAATCACTACATCACCCAAGACAGTGCTCTTAGCATGGTACAGACAACATGCGCCTTGGACCAGACTTCAGTGGAGCACTCTGTGTTTTACATATGCGTCGAGATTCAGCCTGCACACTGATTCTCGGCGGACTTGGATCTGGAGAGAGCCTGGAACACGATATCATCCTTCCCTCGCCAGGAAAAAGGATCACTACGTTGGTAGAGGTGTAATGGTTTGTGCAGGCATTATAAACCTCTGCACACTGCATGTAATTGACAAAGGCTCTCTGACTAGTATGAGGTTCAGAAAGGAGATCTCAGAGCCCTACGTTCAACTTTTCAAGGGCGCAGTTTCTCCTAGGTTTCTATTAATGGAATAGAAAGCTCATACACTTAGCTGGTTGACGATTTCCTGGAAAGTAAGGATATTCGCCACATAGATTTGCCAGCCAGATCTCCTGCCCTTAACATTGAAAATCATGTCTGGGATGCTTTTGGTAGGTCATTTTCATCTCTCCATCTCCTTTCGAGAACCACTCTGGAGTTGAAAACAGCCTTGCTGCAGGATTGAAATAAAATGCCACAGGGTTTCATCAACTGCCTTGTGTTCAGTACACCGTCACTCTGCGTGACCTGTCTGGCTAGAAAAGGGGAACATAGTATATTCCATATTAGACTCAATTTCAGGTCGATATCATAACGGGGATTTTAGACATCCCTGCACTATGAGCTTTACTAATAATCATGCATACATAAAAGGATTTTTGAATGATACATTCCATTCTCTATTATAAATGTATATTCATGCCAAATTTCATTAACATATGTCCATTAGTTTTTCAGAAATTCCAGATAATATGCAGATTCTCTTAATTTTGCACACGAGTGAACGCATAGGAATCGTCTATAATTTTTCTCCCAATACTGACAGTTTACGTAATTTACGAAGGAAGTACCTGACTACTTCCGGACTTCCTTCTAGTCTCAGCAACAAAATAGGGATTTAACTTAATACACTTGGCTAGAAGTGTAATTTTCGTATCCTTTTTCGCCATATGTATCACCCCTCAATTTATGTGCCAAGAGTATATTTTGTCAGGGACGCCGAGGATACTTTTTGCCAAGGATTTATCCACTACTTGCTAAACTTGCTTTAGTCTAGGGATAACATTTCTTTCAAAAATCTCATTTAGTTCCTTTAAATGCTATATTTTAGGTACATAAATGTAACATGTAAAGGTTAAGTTCCTGTATAACACGTTATTTATAGGTATGTTAGAAAGCTAAAAAATTTTACAATCCATTTATGTACTTATTCAGAGAATAAACACTAGGTTGATGAGTAACGATATACTCACATATATAATACAGTAATAAGTGATGGCAAAGTTTACTTATTTACAATAAATACGATATATCTTAATAATATTTAGAGCAAGATGTTTACCTGGTGATCCAATCACTAAATCTTCGCGAACATAAGCTGGTTGTCCTTTGTCACCTTTTTCGCCTGGACTTCCTGGAGTTCCGGGCTTCCCCTACAGGATGAAAACATAATTCCAGAAAGTCACATTTTAAATTATGCTGAACCTAATTAAAATGCACTTTAATCAGACATAACTTAGGTCTAAATAATTAAATCATCATATGAAGGTTCGTAAGTAACAGGTGATATCTCAGAGTGAAATCTTAATTTGAAACTAAATTCAAATAAACTAATGCACTAAACTAATCAAGCACACAGTACTATAATGATTTTAAATAACACATGTTTAAAAATTTAAAGAATGTAGAGTAAAGTAATGCTGGATTAAAACGAAAGTCTAATTGCAGCACATTAGGTGTGCTTGTTAACAAAATTAAAATAACTCCTTTACCTCTTGTTTTTCTCCTTAAATAATCTAATAATAAAAGAGATAATCCTAAAGAAATCAAATTAAAATATATATAAAAACTGCTTTAGAAATAATCCTTCTTATTTTATTTGTGTTTATGATATATCATATGTACAGTTACAGAACTCCAAATATCTGGATTAAATGAAACCACAACCCAACCGCATATTGGAAATTCCTAAATAAATCGATTATCCTCTTTCCTGTAAGCCCTAATGCACTGGATGCAGGAACAGCGATGAAACATTTGTAGATAACTAAATAAAAAGTTATTTGAAGGTTTGCCTACCTTGACAATTTATGACAAAATGTTTAAAAATTTTTTAAATATTCAAAACAGCATTTTTCACCACCAAACTCTACAAATATCTGAAAAGCAAAAGCATGAATTCGCCTGAAAATAAATATTAAAATATATATATAATTTTAAATGCCATTCAAAATAAAAATATTAATATTAAGTAGCCGACTTTCGGTTTTGATCATTAATATTCCGTTACATAAAAAAAAAAGCAATTTACCCTCTTCATCTATAGAAGTTCCTACTTTTATAGCGATTAACTAGAGGTAAACCAGATATTGTTCTATGGGACTTGATTTTGGTATTCGTACATTCAAGGCAGGTCATTTAAATGTTCCCAGTTTTGATTGATAAGAAAAATTTTTACTTTAGTTGTCGCCTTCGCAAATTTTCGCCTTCATTATAATACACTAGTAATGGTAAAATAAAGATTTTTCAACATTAATCTGTACATATGCAAGTTTAGTTTAGACAGGCTGATAACTTGCGAATATCTAAGAAGTGGGATGACATCGAAGAAAAATTAGGTAGACATAACAGTACCTTCATAAATCCTACTCGATAATGCATCATATCCAAAACAGCATTAACTAAAAGCGAATTATAATTAATTACTTCTTTTCCTGGAGAACCAATAAATCCTGGCAATCCATCATCTCCTTTATCTCCGGGACGTCCAGAAACTCCAGGAGGTCCGCGTTCTCCTTGTTGCCCAGGAGCACCGTCATATCCTCTTTCACCTTTTTCACCTTTAGTGCCCGGTAAACACTGTGCACAACTTCCACTGGAATCACCTAAATGACAGAGCACATATTTTATGTATTTTTGAATCATAACACAAAGTTTAAACTAAAAAAAAAAAAAAACAAACTCAGTGGCGCAACAACTCTAGTGGACTACGGCCTGCAGTGCCTCGAAATCTGCTTTCTTGGACCCCGGAGTGCATCAGCATAAACCCTGGACATATGGTCAGCTTATCAGGTTCAGTGTTTCTCCTTACTTGCTTGGGGAACATTGAGGAACCTGACTCGGAACAGGGAGCTTACTAAAGCTATGTTCAATAAATGTGGGAAGTAGACAAGATACACAGGAAGGGTATACGAAACCCTTTATTTTTCACTCTTTACAATAATTTCCGTACTTCGGAATACAGAGACCAACTACTTGTGGTCTGAACGTAAGAATATAAAAATATTTAACTAAACTCTAACTTAACTTTGGAATAATAAACAAGGGCCTACGTGGAAGATTGGCCTTATATTAACAGGAAGCCGTATGTAGTACAGAGAACTGTTAACACTACAATACGTTTAAAATTATCAAGAGGATTAAACCTCTGGCCTGAAAGGCAACCAGCAACCGAGTAAAACTTTTAAGGCAAGCGGCCTGCTTCGACTAACTCCTTCCTCTCTCTCTCTTTGGCAAAAAGCCACAACTTAAGTACTTGGCGTTCGCCAGACAAATTTGCATAAATAAGTTAAAGCTTTTAATTCTGGCCGGAAGTAGAAAATAAGAAGTGATAAAAAAGATTTAAAATAAAAATAAACGTTAGTAAAACTTAAGATCCTTACAAGCTCGTCACAGTATCCCCCGTGTTTAGTCCCCAAGCAAACTTATCAAGCTTGGTACTGATTTTATCGACCCACTCAAAGGATGAAAGGCTGAGTCAACCTTGCCCAGCCCAGGGATCAAACCCCGGATCTGTAGTGCAGTTGCGCGACGCGCTACCCACTTCGCCACCGGGCGGTCAATACAAAGTTTACACGTCGGAATTTTTCATTTATAAAAATATTTCATGAAATAGGGGCTTCGGTAGTCGTAAGACACTTAAATTACGCGATAGTGTCTGTATTTTGCAAAAGACTTCAAGAATAATCTTAAGATTTCAGAAAATAGCAATTGTATTCAATGCATTTGCTACTCAGTCCTCAGCTGGCATCAAAATACCTAAGAACTTCTAAATACAGTCAGTACAGACAACTGCAGTCACAAATTAACCGAGAAATGATTTGTCTAAAGAAATTTTGTAAGCTCTAACTGTAGTAATTTTACACTTCTTGGACACATAAAAAATAAACTATGAAAGAAAATTTTAAATAAACATCCTATAATCTTTGCAATATCTGCGAAATCTATCAGACCAGATAAATATGCATGGTGTTAAAGATAAACAAGCTCAATATTAGCATTAAAATATTATGTTCATACATTTCCAATAAATAGCTTTTGGATAAAAAATTACATGTAATGATTCAAGATTCAGTAATAATATGAATATATTGTTGTCATTTATAATTTTGTTTAAATTCTAAAAGGCCTTTGGCATATTTTTTACTCTGATGTAGCCTTTGTTTACACTCATGATTTAGTTGTACCGCAAATACCGAATTGGCTTGCATAATTTAAAATCCTTTAGCGTTTTGTTTTAATACTGTACGCTGCATTTTCTGGAAAATGCAGGCAGACACCATAGATCATTAGATCATCAGCATTCATACGACATGATTTCGTTCTGACACGGTTCAAAAATTGGTCAAAAGTGCCCTTGTAACAAGGCATTTCTGCAACATTGCTTCTCTCTAGCACGTTCGACAAAGGAGAAAGAAATAGCCATTATCGAGTGCTTAGGGCAGAATTGCCTATAACTTGAAACAATTAAGAGACATTGTTATCAGGAGAAACTTTAGACTGTAAAAGGAAGTCGAAATAGTTAACTGCACCTCTCTTAGGCGAGCAATAAGAGATATACATTTGAAATAAAGAATCACTGAAAGACGCAACAAAATTTAAGGTCAAACCTCACATGAACTTTGCTCCATACAACGTAGAAAGATCTCTCAGCTGAAGCAAACAAGAGAATAATAGATTTCTTTCACACAGCACAGAAATTAAAATTGCTCCAGAAAAAAATCTTCGAACATGAGTTACGTTTCGCCAAAAGTAAAACGATCTATAATGGTTCTAAGCAGTGAGGATGAAAAACAAAATATGCAAAACATAATTAACAAACATATTTCTCTTACTTAGGAAACGAAATTAATATAGTTTTTTAATTTTTGAGCTATTTTTACTTTAACAAAAATTTTTCTCTTATTTAAAAAACAAAATTAATATAAACGTTTTGGACCAAACTGTATTTTTTATATTACTTCTTTGGCTTGTACAACACGAACTTGCATAGCACGGCATTTTTAGGAACATGACGATCATTCAATACAATACCCAGTCATAAAAATACCGGCACCTTTATGCAAGTCAGCTTCTGTTCGAAAATAGAAATCTTCATAAGAAAACACACGCATGAAGGTGAGAACACTCTTATGCAGATTCAGTTTCGAACTCAAGAAATTTTCAACAGGAGGAAGGCACTTTTATGCCAGAACATTGATAATCAAGTAAACTATTCCTTTGTTTCATTAATTAGAAAAGCAAATTATAATCCTACGTGTACAGCGATGTCTCGGTATAAAAAAGTCTGCTTCTTTACGAAAGTTGCTTTTTTTTAGATTAGAGAATGATTTACTTAAGAATGTTAGCAATTTTATACCAAGGTAACCTACAGGTTTAATTTGCTTTCAGCAACGGTGGACTTAAATAAAAGTACCGGCACATATACGTAAGATAAAAAATACGTATATCAGCTTTACAATTTAATTTAGTAACAGCCTCTTACAAGTAACCCTCGTATAACACGGTAGATAGGTTCCTAGAAAATGCTGTGTTGTGCGAAAGTGTATTGTATGAGTGCCAGAGGCAGTATAAAAAGGAGGGTTACGTTCCGAAAACTTATTAAAAACAAATAATTTTTTTAAATTATATATATAAACAACTTGATTTTTATTAAAAATATATATGTATGTACAACACAAAACAAAAACATATTATATATTTTAAATTAATGCAACTTTAGTTTAAATTTCTTCGTTGTCATTGCTCAGTATAATCTAACAGAGAACGTTTTTTCGGTGGAATGAGATCGCTTTCACTTTCAGAATTTCTTTCTTCATTTAGAGTTCTGGCATTTTCTTCCCTCTTTAAAAAATTTGTAATTTTACTTTGCTTACTAGTTCTTACACGATCACTTTAAATTTCTCGATATAGAGCTAGACAGTTTTGCAGCTCTCTTTTGAATTTACGGCTTAGTTCAGCGGAAGAAAAATAACTCGAGATTTTCAGCTAAGCGTAGGCCTTCTTTTAATTTCTTTAATATTAAATTATCAATTTAACAATCTTCATCAGTGGTAGTGTCCTCAGAATCGATTTGATTTACAGCTTCGGATGCCATTTCTATCAAATCTTTGTCAATTTCTTCTTCCGCTAATAAATTTTGAACGTCCTCAATAGCTATGTTCCCAAAACCTTCTAACATGCATTTAACGTTGATGCTTTCAGTTCTTTCAGCGACAAAGATACGATGTCTATTCAGTTCTTGAATGTCTTCCAAGCTTCCATTACATTAATCGATTTTGAATCGGTTACGTCTAAAATCTACTGTAATGCTCTTCTTATATGCTTTAAAGGTATAAATAATACATTGATTCAATGGGTGGAGTAACGAAGTAGTGTTAGGTGTTAGGAACAGTATTTTGACATTGGAATGATACAAATCTTGTGGGTGACATGGAGCATTATCTAATAGTAATAAGCGGCTTGAAGCTGAATTTTTTTGCCTTAAATAACGTTCAGCGTCTGAAATAAAACAATTTAAAAACAATCTTTAAATATATTCCCAGCTAACCCAATGTCTTATATTTTGCTTTCCAATATATCGGTAAGTGTTTTTATTTACCCCTTTAAGTACACGAGATTTAAAGATCTATAAACTAACAAGGGTTTGTCATAAAGTTCAAAGTCATACTGCATAAAAATATCGTTAGACAATATTTAGACACCTTTAAATCAAGATGCACTTTTCTTCTTTTTTCGATATAAAGGTTCTACTGGGCATTTTTGTTTCACCAAAGCCCGTTTTGTCGGCATCGAAAACTTGAACTGCTGTGTATCTTTGTTCTTTTATAATATTTTGAAATTTTTCAGGAAACGTCCTAGCAGCTTAATAATCAGACGATGCAGATTCTCCTTGAATTCTTATGCTATGAATTGCAAAACGCTTTTTGAAATTTTTTAACCAACTTTTCCTTAGCAGAAAATCTGCGTTGGCAGAGGGTTCTCCATGTTCTGAGGTGCTTGAAACTTTTGAGTGCTTTTTTTTAATGATATTACCATCCAACGAAATTTTGTTTGACAGCTATCAAATGCTGAGTGCCAAATGCTGAGTGCCTTTTCCATTCTCTCAATTATTGGCGCCCCGGGAGGCGAACTGCTCGTTTTGAGGATGTCGAAGATCCTGCAGCAACTGCACTTCTTATTTCTTTTTCATTGTTTTTAATAGTTCGGACTGTTTCTTCATTACAATTAAAACTTTTTCCAATGTGAGATGCTTTTTCGCTCTTTAAAAGACGGTACAAGATTTGTATCTGTACTTCTAAAGAAATGAATTTACTTTTAAACGTTGTTTTTTTTATCTTTATCGGACATGTTTGGGGACTGAAACTTAATGTCTTAAAGACGAAAAAGTTATTCTTTAACACAACGTGGCTCGACGCAGACTGCCGACCAGCAGCGGAGACACTTTTGTTTTCAGGCCATGGAGACGAGGATTCGAATTTTGGAAGCCGAAATGCAGGTTGTGCGTTAAATGCAGGTTGTGCTTTTTATTGTGACCTCACGTTGTTCACCTTCTGCGATAGTGAGATTTCTTCATTGTTATCTGGGAACATTTGTTTATCGGGTCATCTGAGGACATTTGTTCTTACGGCTACCGGATCTTGGAAGACAACAGGCAGAACTTACGAAACAAGGATTCTTACGCGTTAAATGACTATATGGGCGCTTTGCACAATATAGAAAAACTTCTTTCGGAGTTCGTTAAATTTCTCCGGATTGCTTGGGCAATATTCTTATCGTGTTAGAGCGAAACCGATTTATAGGAAAACCGTGTTGTAGGAGGGTTCTCGCAATTTATGAATCGTGTTATAGCGAAACCGTGTTACAGGATGCCGTGTTGTAGAGCTAGCTCTAATTCCTCATTTTTAATTTGGGTATTTTCTTTCTGTATTCTAAAAGTAATAATAACTTTTCTGGACTGCGCCATTTCTAAATTAATTTACGTCACATGGCTTGCGTAACGCTGATGATATAGCTCATTCGGAACTTGGACTCGAAAATTTGATAACTGAATCCTTTCTAACATAAACCAAAACCTTCTCTTGGTGACCTTCCATACTGAATAACTGCGCACTTTAGATTCTGCCTGTCTTCCTGTTAAGACACTGTTTCCCTCTGCTCTCTTCCTATCCAACAGTATCAAAAATGTAAATGTTCATGAATAGGTACGATTAGAGAGCCAAGTAAATTGTGGCCACAAATGTCAATTTAAATAAAAATGGAATAAGTCTCGACTGTCAAGTTTGCTGTTCATTATGGATTCAACACTTTAGCATCGTACGCAATCAGAATTCTTCTCCTTCAATAGGGATCTACGTGCTACGCTATCAGTATTTATGCATTTCTACGTCTTAGTGTTCCTACATCAGTAATTCTAAATTTTTTATTACATATATGAATAATTATACAGAATTAACTGCACTCAGAAATTGACCAAGTTACTTTTACTCATCTTGTTTAACGACTGAGTCTAACAACAATAAATGATATCAAAAACCAACTTATTCAACTTAATACATACTGTGAAAGTTTTCACACTGGAAAACACAGACAACAGAATATTCAACAAAGTTTCAGGTAAAATTAAAAGTAGAGCTAAAATTTCAATATTTGTACTCAATTCAATCATCTAAAAAATTATATTGAATTGAATGTTTTGCTGAATTCAAAGCATAAAAAATATCTTACCTTTTGATCCCCTAGGCCCAACTAATCCTGCTCGTCCCGGTAATCCAGGATATCCTTTATCTCCAGGAGGTCCAGGCGGTCCTGGAATTCCAGGAATACCATCTCTCGTATCTCCAGGCACTCCTAATAGTAAAAAGTTACTGGAATTGTTAAAAATAATTTTCTAATTAAAACTTCAAGTGTTAATATAATTGTAAACACATTACACATAATTTTTCTACGAACAGAACGTTTTTAAAAATAATCTGTGGATTTACATTCCAAGCTTGAGGTACTAATATAAAACAAAAAATATATCGGGTATGATTCGAATAGAATACGCACGTGCTAGAAATAATGTGCAATTTTGTTTTTTGAAATTTAAAAGACTTTCATTGACATATGACAACAATTTATAATACATTTCCTTTCTATCATTTGTAAATAAATTCATCTTGGATGAATAAAAAGTTTTGCCTTAATGATTTTCAAAAATGGCGAATGAAACTGCGCAATGAACATGTATAAATTTCGCTTTTAGTTCAGAAAAGTTTCTACTTTCTCGCCCTTACATGTGCATTTTCTATGTCTAAAAACCAACCATTGTGGGATTTGTCTTTTCAACTGGCGTTATTTGAAATACATCAGGAGTTCATAAAATATTTCTTGATAATTTTTATTTTCTTTCCTACAGCAAAATTAAAAAAACGAAGTAATCTAAGTTTTCAACTTCTATATTCTGTAAAATCCTAGAGATGAATTTTCTTTACATTGATGGTTCATTCATGGATAGCATGAATCAAAATTAGCGCTATACTAAAATACTTACACCAAAAGAGGAAACTACTACTTCAATTCTAGCATCAAATATTTCAATAAAGTATGAAACCATTTTTGCGATATAATCCCCAGTGAGTTTTTTACCATTCTGGTAAAGAATAGTACTGTCGCCAAAGATGGTGGTACAAAAATCATCAAGTGATCCTTATTCTGCCATAAATAATTAACCTTCTTTTTAATTCCAAATGCATATTATATGCTCTATGCGATGCTTAGAGTAATAAGTTTAAAAAGCAGACTTTAAAGCTAAAAACTGGAAATAATCGCAAAATACAGAAAATGATGTATGAAAAATTCAGTCCATTTTTTTATGAAAAAATACCTCCTCATGTTCCATTATAATTCATATGGATAAATAAGGTTATACTATATAATGTAAAACACAAATTCTACTTCACCTCTGTCTCCTTTGGGACCTCTGTCACCCTTTGCTCCAGGTAGTCCATCTAATCCAGGACTTCCGTCTAGTCCATCTACACCAGGTAACGGATATCCTGGCGTTCCCTTGGGACCTGGCTCTCCCTTTACACCAGGTCGTCCAGGGAAACCAGGAGCTCCAGGTGCTCCAGGAACTCCATGTATTCCAGGATCACCTTTATCTCCTTTTGGCCCAGGAGGTCCTTCTCTGCCTGGTAATCCAGATTCTCCTATACCCCCAGGCGAACCAGGTAAACCTCGTGGTCCAATGGCACCTGCAGAAATAAAATAAATTTGTACATACTTTATAATTAATTTCATCCCAATACAGAATATTTAAGCTAAGGAAATGTTCGAAATATTGCATATGTATTAAAAGCCGCGAAATACTTTTGCAGTTTTTTAAAGCAAGAATCAGAAAAAAGCAAAAAAGGGTGTAATGAAGTTTCATGGAATATTAATCAGAATATCTTTTGATTTAAACAGTTTTTGCCCATGAATAGTTATTCAAATTAATCAGTTCAGTGAAAAACGCTGATATCATATCGCAACTTTTACGACCACGGTCGTGTTTCGCGGGGCGAATTTTTGCGACTAATCTGTTGAATTTCTGTCCCCCCCCCCGCGAGATTTCACAAAAGAAACAATTTTCTACAAATGTTTGTTCAATAATTCTGCAAATTCAAGATTTAAGACTTTTTAAATTCCTATCATAATTGTCGGATTATTCTTTATTTAATTTTTATATTATTTTCGATAAAATATTACGACAAAATGTGCAATTGTTTTCCTAAATCTAACGCAAATTTTGAATGACTAGGAAAAAAAGCCGTTTTCCGAATGCTTCTCGTTGTATACATGAACCGATAACTAGATTCTAGATTCGATGCTGAATGATCTTTAAAATGTACTACTTAATGAAGAAATTCGTATGTGCAGTATAAAATACCAGAATGAACTTTTTTAATGAAATTTTTGATCTTATGAAACTGCATAGATTGCAAGATTACTTTATAAATCCTTGGTATCACGCAAAAACCACAAATTTGCACCATCTTTGTTTACACTAATAGTTATTTACCGTGTTACAGTTTTGAGCTTTATGTTATAATAAAAGAAACATATATAGTCTAGGTAGATAAAGGCATTAGAATCACTCTGCAGATGTCATAACTAGTTATTTCTTCAAACCACACGCATGCCAAATATTCAAGTACGTTTTTCTAAACGATGATTTTATGATGATGCCAACGAAGATGAAACGATGATGCCAACGAGGTATAAGTTTCAATTTTAAAAATGTAAATATATATTTACTTAAATTCTAGTTAGCTGCTAATGAAAGTTTGCATCTGTTAGAATTTCCCAACCTTGCCTTGAAATGTCATACAAATAGGCTGCTGTGAAATACTATTTCGAGAACTTTTAATGTAAATCCAAACCCACAAAACCTACGTGAGATTTCAAGTTTACCGCTTCGACTACATGAAAATTCGTCCTTCCCCACACGATAAAATTACTGCCGTGTTTGTGATGATTATATCGTTCGTGGGCTGCAATATCGACAACCCTCGAAAAATTAAGCTTAGAGATAAATGTGTTTAAAGTTTTCTTTGGTTCTGAGTGCAGCAATCATACGATTATTTGATATATTAAGAAGCAGGTATTACTAAAAACGTCCATTGGATTTTTTTTCATTATAATGCATATAAGATGTTATAAAATGTTATTTAATATAGTTCAGCCGCCTCATCCGCGGCCATGAGCGCAAACACGCATGCGCCATTCGAATCAAATTATTCTCAAAATAGGGTGGAAGGATGGGAACGAGTATATAAATTATCTCTTTCCGGAGAATGCGTTTGACGCGTCTGGCATGAGGGGCTCATTTTCAAGCTCATCAATCTTGGATTACTTAGAGAACTGATTCTCTTGATTTATTCCTTCCTACAACACTGACAGTTCATCGTTTCACTAGGCAACGAAACTTCTACTCCAAGGCCAATAAGATCTAGGGTCCCCCAGGGCAGTATCCTTGGACCGGTTCTTTATCTGTTTTGCATTTCGGACTTCCCACATCCTGGACTTGACAATTATTCTCTGCTCGCATGCTCGCATGCTACGCCGATGATACGGCGATAGCTATCAAGTCTATCAAGGCTAATCAAGCAATTCATAAAATGCAAGAATATCTTTAGTGTTGAAGACTGGTGCACTAACTGGAGGGTAAAAATTAACGCCAGTAAATCACAACTGTTAAACCTCAGTAACGCGCCAATTAAAAACTAAAAATGTAAACTAAAAAAAACGCGCCAATGTTAACGAACTTGATCTTTTCCATTGACCATTGGAATTATGTTCAGATTTCTTCCAGTTATTGGTAAATTTTCTAACCTTAGTCTTAGAACCAAGAGGCATATTTATACTACTTGCATCAGACCGATTCTTTGTTATGCATCACCTGCCTGGAATACTGCTTCTCCAAACCAACTCTATCAACTCCAAGTGGTGCAGAACAAATTTCTACTTATTATTACAGATGCTGACTTTCTCATCCTCAACGAATTTCTTCATAGACATCTCAAGCTTGAGACCATCACCGAATACATTAAAAGAACAAATGAGAAGTTCTTCACAAAAGCAGTCCAATGCTACTTTGTGAACTATTCTCAAGTGTTCAACTACGAAATTCTCTTCGAAGATCGCAATATACGTCCACTGGCAGCACATAATATCATGGATGGAGACCACTAGTTCTTTTCTTTGCTCCTCATTCGGTGGCTGTTCATCCATCAGATTCAAACTGTATTGTTTTCTAAGTTGTTTGGGATTTTTCTGATTATGTTGTACTGACTGATGTTGATGTTGTACTGACTGATGTTGATGTTGTACTGACTGATGTTGATGTTGTACTGACTGGTGTTGATGTTGTACTGACTGATGTTGATGTTGTACTGACTTGATGTTGCGTTGTATATAAGTTGTATGGGATGAATTAGTGTTGTTATTTTGTAGTATTGTTCTTTTGCTGTACAGTGTTTATTGAATCTGTTTTTGCATTTGCCATTTTGTAGAATTGTCATTGGATCGTTTTGGATTTTTTTCCCATTCTGACATGTTTTATCACCTGCCATTTTCTCATGGTTATCACCTTTGGCCTTTTTCTCATGGTAACTTCCTTCTTTTCCTTTCCTCCGATTTCTCATCTGAGATATTATCCTCGTCCAGATTTTACTATGTCATGTACCTCAGGGCTTCATTTAAGGAACCGGACCGTTGCAACAGGCAATAGTTCGGTATATCTAAATGTCTAAGACTTTAAAGTAACCCTTCGCGTCGCAGCAAGTAAAAAGCCCACTTTGGACGAGTCTATGTGTTTTGGCAGAATGCCAGCCAAGGTTGCGTTTGAGACAGTCGAACTATTATACATTTTATTTTATCCTATTGTGTTACTGTTGTCAATTTTTGTCTTTGCAGTAGAAGTACATGACTTATAATAATGAAAAACAATTAGTCACAAATTGAGTTTTATTAATAATATTACTACATTGTGACCTGCAATTATTAAATTGCTATAATATTAGTAAATTGTATTATTAATTTTTTAGCGTTATGTCATTCATCAAAATATGAACTTGGGAAAGTGAACTATTTCCCAAAAGTAGCCTATATATATATATAAGTTTTAAAATACACCCTATTTTTATACTTCAAATTTTACAATACTGTAAATTGCTGTATAACAGCTTAATATTACTTTGCAAATGACTAAACTTCAATTTCGTCTTCAAATCAAAACCGATCGTCAAATTTCTTCTTCGATATAGTAACAGGATTTGTTTTAAGCTTTTTACAATATTGCTTCCTGGAAGAATTGTGAATTGTTCCTGAACGCAATTTTAAAATCGGTTTGTTTAAGAGAAGTCTTTTAGAAGTAATCCCATGATTATTTTTTTACTTTCAATACAGAAATGTTGTTGAAGTGTACAGTTTCATTGTTAGCCTTTAGAATAAAATTTGGACACGTTTGATCTTGGAGATCCTCTACATTAGTAAGTTATCTGGTGCAAAGTGCCAGTATTGCAGCCAATGTAGGCGAAAAAACTAAAGAATGCAACAGAGACACTACTGCCATCTGTGCGATGCTGAACTAAAATATGTGCCAACTGAACTAAAATCTGCCGTCGCAAAGAAGACGATCTTACAATGTTGGAAATTATCATAGCTTAAAATTCGCATTTTTCGAACTATGCTAGTATTGCAGCCCATGAATGACAGCCAAAGTGGAAAAATACCTATACGTATAGCAAAGTGAAAACATATGGCAGTTAAAGTGAATAAGTACTGAAATGGGAATAAAAAATTAGTTAAAAAATATCAGAAAACATATTGTGAAAGAAGTTATTGAAGTGAAGAAATATGACAAGGTGATAACTTTTAAACAATGTGTGAGTTTATGTAAGAAGCTAATATGTCGGTTTAAGTTTCAGTTATAAAATCAGAGTTAATCAAACTTACCTTCAAACAATAATTTATTTATTCGATTTAAATTATGACCAAGTAATTAACAAGTCTGATCATTTTTGAAGAGAATGTAAGTTGATAACAGTGAATGAGATTGTTGATCGAGTTTCCAGTTTCATAATGCATAATTCCTCCCTTAAATATGATTAATTTTCAATGAAAGAAATAAATTTTTCAAAACCAATAAATAGATGATTCGAAATTACGCATGATCATTGGATTAATCAATTTTACCATAATATATTCAATATTGCATATGGAGCTAGTTGAAAGATTTAAGGATTGATACTTGTGAATTTTAAACCTCTGTGTCGAAATAATGACAGAAACCCTCTGTATTTTCATCAATTGATCCATGTAGTACGACTCAAAAAAGTATTGGAGCAGAGGAAACATTCAAATATAACCATGCTAAATCTATAATGATAAGTAAAATTAAATAAATTTAATAAATACATGAGCTGTTTTAAATATAAATAAGAAATTGGGGTCAAAAATATATTGAGGCAATGAGTCATTAAGTTTTCTTAAAGCAAGAAACATGAAAGATGAACAGTACCCTCGCCGAGACACAAACCTGGACCTCTCGAATACGAGGAGAGAGGGAGGAAATACATATCCCCTTTTAAAGGGTGACTGCGGAGTAGGGGACACAACCGCCAAATCCTGGTGGTGAAGAATCCTCATCCACCACCTTTTAGTTCAGGCGCCACTATAGAATAATTAGGTTTTTTTCTTTTTTGAAGCAAGAGAAAAATGAGCAATTTTGATGTGCGAAAAGTTATAATTTTTTATTGAAATTATAGAAGAGCTGAGAGAACACTAGGTGAACTGTTGAATGCAAGAGGATCACCTACTCCTAACATTATTTCGAAATTCCGTACAGACTATTTCAATGAAAGCGAGGGAAAACTGAGCGGTAGAAACATTATTTGTAATCCTAATACCAGTACAGTCAAATTCACTTCAGAAGCCCAAAAATATGTAGCAAGTATGCTAATAAAGAAACTGTTAAGAATATTGTAAGCAAATATAAATTTCATGGCTGAAAAGCTACGGGGAAAAATTGTCAGTACAGTGAATCGGTGTTCGCCGAAAACATCGCGGGCGAAAATGTCGCGGAGAAAACAAAAACGTCGTGGCGCAAAACATTGTGGGAGAAAAGAAAGCAAAGACAAAAAATCGCATTTCTAAAATATCGTGGTACGAAATGTCGTCATCGAAAATAACGCGGTTCAAAACTTCGCAGTTTAAAAAAATCTGATGTGTACACCACATGACTTCCTTCTACGGAATATTAAATTATACGCATTTTTTCTTGCATTTCGTTTAAACTTATTAGACTGAATTAAACCTACTTCTCCGACAGCGCATAAACCACAATCGAATAAATGCATTCTTTAAAATTCACTTTGTTTACTATAGCGACACTCTGGCGCTAGGTTCACTTAACAGTATTATATTTCGTTCATATTATAACTCAGAATGCACATAATTTATATCATTTAAAGAATTGTCTAATCGTTGCCACATGTTCTATTCAAATAATATAATAAAGCTAGAACGATGTATAAAAGAAATTAAGCAAACAAAACAAAAAAGAAACAGTTTTTCACAGACGATTGAGTATTTCTCATTCAATTAATTCAATTCTCACTTCGCGAAAAGGCAAAAATACATAAAAACTCAAAACATCTGTATTAAAAATTACGAAGTAAATCTTAAACACTTATTTCCTCGAAAAAATTCCAGAAAGGTATAAGCATGATTTAATTCGCAATAATAAATGAAGGCGTTATCTTTGTTGTTGCGAAGCTAAGTTTCTCTGGCAACAAATCCGCTATTCTGCTGTTTCAAATGTAAACAAGAGCAATGGCCGCCATCAAAAAAATTATTAGGCTTGGCGGCACTTAAACAATTTTAAAATTGTTGATAATTCTAAACATATTTCATACAGATTTACTAAAGGCATGAAAACCTTAACCGGAAGATAAGAACAACATAATTCAATCATTTTTAAAGCAAAAAAATGTACAATTTAGAAACATATAAGAGTAAAGAAACTGAGATCATTGAGCCGGGTAACAGAGTGGATATATATATATAAATATATTTATATACGTTTGGTGCGGTCGATTGCAACCAAAATACGAGGTGCACATCTACATGTTATAGCAGTCCTATATACAAAATGTCAAGGTTCTGAGGCTACTCGTTTTTGACTTATGCGAGATACGTACGTACGTACATACGTTCATACAGACGCCACGAAAAATTCTCTTCAGAATTCATTTTAAATCAGTTTTATAATTATTTTGGAGGAAAAGAGTGTTTTATTCTATCCCTTACGTACAGATATCACGGAAATACATCGTTAAATTGCATTCGAAAGAGGTCAAAATGGATATTTTCGTTGAAATATGCTGCCTGAAACTTTTCGCGATTACAATATTTCCTTTTTACTTCGTACAAGGAAGTAAAATAGGTCACCGGAAATATAGTGGTAAGAAATAAAGTACCTATAAATCATCGCATGATGATAACACCGCACACTTGCATTTCTCAGGTTTTAAAAGCTGTAAATGCATTTTCACATAATGATTAGGGAGCGCAAGAAGGATATTTTTACGAAATACCCTCATATGCGGTCAGGTCGTAAATTTAGAATGCCTTTTTTCACAGGGGGGGCCTGAAAAGTAGGGAATAATCTTGCTCGTGGTCTTGGGGGTCGTTTAAACATCTAACTTCTCTACATTCAGTTTTATATAGAAGAAAATACAAATTGAATTGTTCGAATGAATGCAATTTTGTACAATGAAAATGTATTACTTAATGATAAACTGTAAGGTAAATAACATCTTTTTTTAAAGCCATAGGTGTAGAAAGACAGATATTTGTTACACAAATGAATTTGTAGTAAATATTGAGTTTTTCATTTCGAATGCTATGTTCCAATTGTGCGAAGTAGCTGAGTATGTGAGATAATAGTCATAACCGAATGGCTTTCAACCTTTTTTCACGGCTAAGGACTGTTTCTTCAATTACATTGTGGTCGCTGCTTTTTGGTTAATTTTCTAATGACATATAAAAAATAGTTGTTTTTATTTGAGACTTATGAATAAAATAACGCAAACTAGACTGCAGAAAATTTCTTAAGAATGAAAGTTAAATAATACTTAAAATACATTATTGATGCGCTTTTGTGTTTTATATGTAGTAGTATTAACTACTACTATAATCCTTAAATGGAATCCTAAATTATATATATC